TCTCTCGGTTTTCACTCGGCTCCTAGTTTAAGTTTCCGAGACTCTCAGTTTCCAGACTCTCAATTTCTAGATTCTCAGTTTCCAGATTCCCAGTTTCTAGGTTTCTTAGTTTCTCAGTTTTCAATTTCTCGGTTTTCAATTTCTTTGTTTTCAGTCTCTCGGTTTTCACTGTCAGCTTTCAAACTGTCGGTTTTCAGTCTCTTAGTTTTCAATCCCCTAGTTTAAGTTTCTGAGATTCTCGGTTTCCAGATTCTCAGTTTCTAGGTTTCTTAGTTTCTCTGTTTTCAGTCTCTCGGCCTTCCGTATTTCGGTTTTCAGCGTCTTAGTTTTCACGTTCTCAAATTCTCAGTTTCCAAACTCTCAGTTTCCAGATTCTCAGTTTCTAGGTTTCTTAGTTTCTCAGTTTTCAGTTTCTCGGTTTTCACTCTCGGTTTTCAGTCTCTCGGTTTTCAGTGCATTAGTTTTCAGTCTCCTGTTTAAGTTTCTGAGATTCTCTGTTTCCAGATTCTCAGTTTTCAGAGTCTCAGTTTCCAGATTCTAAGTTTCCAGATTCTCAGTTTCTAGGTTTCTTAGTTTCTCAGTTTTCAGTTTCTCGGTTTTCAATTTCTCTGTTTTCAGTCTCTCGGTTTTGAGTCTCTCAGTTTTTTCACTCTCTCGGTTTTCACTCTCGGCTTTCAGTCTCTCGGTTTTCAGTGTCTTAGTTTAAGTTTCTGAGATTCTCAGTTTCTAGATTCCTTAGTTTCTCTGTTTTCACTCTCTCGGCTTTCCGTATTTCGGTTTTCAGCCTCTTAGTTTTCAGTTTTCAGTCTCTTAGTTTTCACGTTCTCAAATTCTCAGTTTCCAGATTCTCAGTTTCTAGGTTTCTTAGTTTCTCAGTTTTCAGTTTCTCGGTTTTCACTCTCGGCTTTCAGTCTCTAGGTTTTCAGTGCCCTAGTTTTCAGTGTCCTTTTTAAGGTTCTGAGATTCTCAGTTTCCAGATTCTCAGTTTCCAGACTCTCAGTTTTCAGAGTCTCAGTTTCCAGATTCTAAGTTTCCAGATTCTCAGTTTCTAGGTTTCTTAATTTCTCAGTTTTCAATTTCTCGGTTTCAATTTCTCTCTTTTCAGTCTCTCGGTTTTGAGTCTCGGTTTTTTCACTCTCTCGGTTTTCACTCTAGACTTTCAGTCTCTCGGTTTTCAGTGTCTTAGTTTTCAGTCTCCTAGTTTAAGTTTCTGAGATTTTCAGTTTCTAGATTCTCAGTTTCCAGATTCTGAATTTCTAGGTTTCTTAGTATCTCAGTTTTCAGTTTCTCGGTTTTTAATTTCTCTGTTTTCAGTCTGTCGGTTGTCGGTCTCTCAGTTTTTTCAGTCTCAGTTTTCATTCTCTAAATAAATTTTGATATATGCAAAATAAATCGTTCCATACACCGAATTTTTCGGCAACTTTTGTTAGGAATTGTATTAAATAATTGCATAATTTCTTTAAACCACAATTTTTTAGCGCTATCAGCTTTCTGAAGAAAATGAATTAGAAAAACTTAGTTATTGTTCATAATAAAATTGTGAAAAAGTCCGCATGTATTTTTTTATTAACTTGATATAGTGATATTATATTAACAAAATTTTGAGATGACGTCATCGATTGTTTGCAGAAATTGGGAGTTAAAAAAATATATTTCTCCAACAGACAAGACAATGAGACAAATTACCAAATCTGAACAATAGCATCAGCAGATTTACATACATTTACATAATTTGATGGTTTATTTTACATTTAAACAGATGGTAATATTTTAGAATTTATAATAACACTGAATTATTTTTAAAGATCAAATTCTGAATATTTCTTTTAAGTTCTCTTGATCTTAACAACCTCTCAAATAAACACCTAAGCGAAAAATACTTTTGACGTGAACATGTCATTTCTAAGTCAGTGACCAACTGTCAGTCACAGTTAACTCCAAACCAAAATATTTTCAGTTATAAAATCCAACCTCCCATTTGTTATTATAAAATACAGGTACACCGTTAAAATAAAACACACACGCTGAACCGTAATTCTAAATATCATTTATAAATAGAATAGCAAGTTGTCACACAACTCTGAATTAAAAAACGTCCTATCACTAAATGACGTTTCACTTTCATATGTTTCCAAGAAGAATGATAACTCATGCGTTACATAACTCGGTTTTTGCAGCACGCTTTACACAAACAAACATTTATCACACTACGTAAATTAACAATAACGTTACGGTATACATATGCTCTTGCTTTTGTTTGTAATGAAAAAAAAACAATCCGACGTTGTACATTACGGTATTGTTAGTTTACGTCGTGCGACAATTACCTCATTACAACAAAGGCAACAAGAAAATTATAACGTCATAAACGTTACGCCCGTCAAAAGAATGAAATTACCATTTTTATACCAAGTGGTTAATTTTTCCGTGTGCGACTACATGACATAACGAATTAAAGCACTGATATCCTGTTTGGTGTTTTTCTTCTCTCTTTGTTTTGAACTATTTTAATCGCTAGCATTGACATTTCGGTGGATGTCGGCAACGTTATTAATTTATTCGGCGAAATTATTTATAGCGGTTTTTGTGACAGCTTTGCCTTCCTCTGTCCTAATTTTTTCTGCAGCAGTTGTATGGGTCTGGTTATGCATTTTTATCTGGGTCGCAGTTGTCTACGAAAAGTTTCTTCAGGTGTAAAAAGCTAGCGGATTTTATGTGTGGAGATTTTATTTCTTTATTGGTATGCACATAGAGTAATAAAGAACCAAACAAACTTGTTGCATAAAGGCAGCCTTTCACTATAAATTGCCGAAAAGGTAGGTTCGGACAATAACTGCTAATTTATACATAATTAATACTTATTTTTTGAATAATGCTAACTTTAATAAAGGAGAATAAATAGTGTCTAGAGGTTGGTATACGTCTGGCGTTTTTTACTTATTAGTAGGTTTTTGCTGTAGGTGTGTACTGTACATTCACTGGGTATGTATCAGATTTGCAAATAAACACCCATTACCATAACAATTATTTTCTTTACATAAATTGACAGATCTTGAGCGACCATTTCACTTTAAATTTCATTTAAAAATGTCTGACAAAAAGTTAACTCAATGAGCTTACAAAAAAAAACCTCTAAATTGGAACTGGCATTAAACGAATTAAAAATGCTATCGACGTAACAGAAAAAAACATACAGCAATTAATATCCAAATAATCGTTTAACACGACTCAAATTATTTTAACCTTGATCAAATTCTCATTTTTTATACATATACTTTCAAAAACACATATCGACAGTAAAATCCCATATCCTCCAGCTCAAAAACAAACAATAAAAAACTCATTTTTTAACAGTCCAATCTCTAGAAAGGTTGAACAATGGAATCAAATTATGAATAATTTTCGTCAGATGAGGATTAAGTAATCAAAAATGAGGAAGTTCAAGTCTATTTGTCGGAGTCAATTAACTGATCACAATGCCTGAGAACGTTCATCTTCATTGTGTTAACCACCAAATCATAATAATTAGACATTCATCATCATGTTTTGTTTATAGATGCATTATTACGCAACGCAAAATCTTTCGTGTTTTTGACAAGTGGAAAGGTGTGGCTAGTGGAGAAAATTCGAAACAAGTTCGGTTTTAGGTCATTTTGTTGTAATGTATAGCAGCTAAAATCCCCAAAGGTCAAAGGTATGATGGTGAGTTCCTCATCAAACTTAACTTTCCTTTTTAATATGTATGTATCCATATCTCTGATCTAGACATGAGGTGACTACGACAAATTTCTGAGGGAAAACCAGTTGGTTTTTCTAACAGTAATAATTTGCCCACCCATTTTAGAAAAAAGTTGTAAATTACAAAAATTAAATGTCAGTTGAGCCCAAGATAATAAATCTGTTTTATGAGCGAATGAAAATATTACGGGCTGGTGAGATTTATGACGCAAAGTTTGCTCCATTTTGACCATAATCGTTTGACGTCAGTGCTTTAGGCTTCTGGTGCGAAGAAATGGTCAGAAAATGTCATGGTCTGAAAATTATGTTAAGATTTTAACAAAAAGGTCAAAGTTGTGGCACAATCAAAACACATATGTTGCTTTTGTTTTGTGTTTTATTAGTGTATTAAAAACGAGTGCAGCGACCTCTAATGGTCTCTAAAATAGCCACTACTATGTATTTATTGAACAATACGAGAACGACTGAAGCATGAAGCAAAAAAAATATATAAGAAATCAGAAAGAATGTATAGATGACTGCTCTAAAAATGTGTAATAAGAAATAAATTACAACTGAAAAAAGAAAGCCAGAGAAAGAGGTGTGTAAGTGACAAGCCAAAAACTAACATGCAGTTGCTTTAATCAAGAACTAACAGTTGCCATCCAAAAACGAAAGGAGAAAACCATCCAGTCCATACATAATAACTGGATATTTAACAAAGACTAAGTTATTCTTAAAAGACGACACCGTATAGTTACATCACGAACGTTTAATTAGTACAACCGTGTAAGTACCTAGTATTATATTTTAAGAAGTAGCTACAATATTACACTTTCCACTTCAGCAGTTGCAAAATAATTACCTATTTCAATCAATACAAGAAAGTTACCACAACGATAAATCAAACCGAGAATAACGCTATTATACAGAAATTTTATTATCTTATTCTTGACATCAACAAGAGAATGTCCGAGTGTAACCTACAGCTTATAAACTTCAATAATAAAACATTCAGGTCACCTGAATGAAACTGAAAGTAAAGGAATTAAACCTAAAATGTAAATGAACAAGCTGTTTAAACAAAAACGCAGGCGAGACCCAGCTGTTTTAGATACATTCAGCTTTCTAAAAAAATATCGAGAATAGGTGAAACAAACGATACGGTTCATTAAAAAAAAAATTACAAGAACTGATTAACGGCCCACGTGACTTAATAACGACGTCGACGGCAGCGCCCTCTGCTATCACGCTCGTGAACTACAACAGTAACCTGTACTTGTAACCGACAAAAAACCTATTGGAAAGTTTCGCTCGTCTCACCATCACCAGAATAGCGTTGGTTTTCGCTTTGTATCACATGTTATCACTCAGTTTCCCGACGTTTGCAGCTTGTTTACTTACGTCATTAAACCAAATAGTCAAAATTGGCACCATTCAAACCACAAGTTCGAAAATTGAATTACTGGTAAGTTGTTTTAACCCATTTTAATTTTACTGCAAGTAGGCTAACATCATGTAAATATTTACTTCCCGTTTTGTAGGTTTCGTTAGAATAAGTGGATTTTTTACTAGAGGTAGTGCAAATAATGCCCTTTGTAGGATAATAGGTGGTGGTCGTTTTTTTGTGACCCATATGTTTGTTCATGGTACTGATAAACGTGGCATTTTTTTTATATAACCCCACCCAGAGATAAGAAGTCGTTGTAACTGTCGTTAAATCCTCATTTAAAGTGTTTGAAATACGAGAATGGTTGTTGAAGGTCGTAGAGCGTCATATTTGTTATCTGTGGCATCTGTCAAAAGAGAAAAATCGCAAAATATGGAGGTCTTAAGCGTACTTGATATGCAGGTCATTTTTGAGTGCATGCCATAAGTATGCAACACATTATACACGAGTTGATGCTGCACACTTTGATTTGTGTGTATTTGTGTCAAAATTTCTGTTGTAGATATTTATTAAATAGTTCAGCCACGTGTGGGTTCATGATAATGATAACAGTGATCCCAAGTTATAGATAAAAGTTTGCAAAGTCATACTAGAAGTGTTTTCATTTGATCTAAAAGTAGATAATTCTAGTTTAATTTGTTTGATTATAGTCCATGAAAAAGTTTCTCTTGTGGATATTAAAAAAATATCGGGAAAGTATAGTAAAATCATCCATATGTAATTTATTTAGAATTCTAGTTCTACTTTGTCAATATTTAAACAGTGATAACATCATTTAATACTTGTTTATGAAGGATGATAACGATAATACTCAATTGCGTTATTTATAAAGAAATTGCTCAATCTATATATTTTGCGTTTATAAATATTGATGAAATTAACACAAATTTCCCTATGTAACGGTGTATTGTTTATTTTTGTTCCGTGGTTATTATTATCATAATGTTATGCGTTACAAATTGTTACATTGTATTCATAATCAGGTTTAAATTAAATGCTGAATGCGTATTTATTGCTTATAAGTAGAAATTAATAACAGCAATTGTCTTGTTTATAAATGAACCTTGTTTAATGATAAAATTGTATGGTAAAAGTATTTTGAGGAGTTTCTCTTTATTCATTTTTTAAATACAAGGTTGCTTAAAAAATCGCAAGAAAAACTGTTATGTTCTAAGTGGGTTTTACATATACTATGAGGAAATAAGAAAAATAAATAGAAAGATTATGACGTTGATTGATGGCTGATATATCGTCCAAGGACGATTGATTTTTTCGTAGCCAACTAAATTCCTTAATTTGTTTTGTTTCGGAATTTATTAGATGGATTCTTGCGGTATAAAAATGAAGTGTCAGACGATTAGTCAGAATACAGACTCTTATCAATTGTGGTCAACTTATCCTGTTAACTAACAAAAAAAGAATTACACATAGTTGATGACATTAAAAGAAACAATGGAATATTAAAATCACAAATTATATAAAAATATCCATTTGAAATAAGATTTAAGTGGGATTTATAAACTTTTATAATTTAAGTTGTTTACTACAAAAGCTTACCATTTTAGACGTGTTTTAAGTTTCTTTTTTTCTCGAAATAAGTCTACAAATATTAAGAAAAAAAAAGGCAAAATGTAGCCCCGCCCACCCGCCATATCTCAATTGTGATATTTTTTTTTATTCGCCCAGAGCCAAAGGAGCGAAATTTAATTGCAAAATCCTTATTATTTATCTACAAGAAATTACATATTTTTGAGTATCCTGTTATTCAAAGAATACTATGTATATTAAGAAAAAATTAAAGCCAAAGATTAAGCCCCACCCATTCCTGCCTTGATCTAAATAGTAATGAAGTTTTCATTCGTTGGTAGACCTAGGGGAGGAGCCTAATTGCAAAATCCATATTTCGTTACAAAAATTTACCATTTTAAAAGTGTTTTAAGTTTCTAAGAATAAAATAAATCAGCACAACTGAAATAGGGTGGGTGGGTGGGGTTTATATTTTGCCTTTTTTTCTTAAGCTCTGCCCACTTGATTCACGGCGAATAAAAAAAAATTGAAATATTAAAATATCGAAAAATTGAAAAACCAAGGACTTGAAATATGAAAAAATCCATAAATTGAAAAATCTAAAATTTAAAAATCGAAAAAGTAAAAAATCGACAAATTCAAAAATCGAATTGGAATATTGAAAAATCCCAAAACTTAGATGTCAAAAAATTAAAAAAAAAAATTAGAATGAAAACATTAAAAAAGCGAAAACATAAACATGGAAAAGAGACATCTAAAAGTCGAAAAATCTAAAACCGAAAAGTCGAAAAATTGAAAGATCCTTAAAATTGAAACATCAACAAACTGAAAAATCTAAAATTTAAAAAATTCGAAAAAAATGGAGAAATATCAATCAATCGAAAAATTAAAAAATCCAGAGATCGAAAAATTGAAACGTCAAAAAAATCGAAAAATTGAACAATCGACATTTTGAAAAATTCCAAAAGAAGAGAAATCGTAAAACTGAAACATCAGAAAATGGAAAAATGGAAAAATTTTTAAAATTGATAAACCGAAAATTTGAAGACTTGAAAAATAGAAAATTCGAGGAATCTGAAAGTCGAAAAATAGAAAGATCCTTAAATTGAAACATCAACAAACTGAAAAATTAAAAAATCCAGAGATCAAAAAATCGAAACGTCAAAAAAATCGAAAAATTGAAGAATCGACATTTTGAAAAATTCCAACAGAAGAGAAATCGTAAAAATGAAACATGGGAAAATCGAAAAATGGAAAAATTTAAAAAAATTGATAAACCGAAAATTTGAAGACTCGAAAAATTGAAAGATTCTTAAATTGAAACATCAGTAAATCGAAAAATTGAAGAATCGACATTTTGGAAAATTCCAAAAGAAGAGAAATCGTAAAAATGAAACATCGGAAAATTGAAAATAGAAAAATTTTAAAAATTGGTAAACCGAAAATTTGAAGACTCGAAAAATTGAAATTTTGAGAAATCTAAAAGTTGAAAAATCTAAAACTGAAAAGTAGAAAAATTGAAAGATTTTTAGATTGAAACATCAACAAACTGAAAAATCTAAAATTTAAAAAATTCGAAAAAAATTGAGAAACAATAAATCGAAAAATTGAAGAATCGACATTTTGAAAAATTCCGAAAGAAGAGAAATCGTAAAAATGAAACATCGGAAAATTGAAAATGGAAACATTTTAAAAATTGATAAACCGAAAATTGGAAGACTCGAAAAACTGAAAATTTGAAAAATCTAAAAGTTGAAAAATTTAAAAGTGAAAAGTCGAAAAATTGAAAGATTCTTAGTCTGAAACATCAACAAACTGAAAAATCTAAAATTTAAGAAATTCGAAAAAAAATTGAGAAACATCAATAAATCGAAAAATTAAAACATCCAGAGATCGAAAAATCGAAATGTCAAAAAAATCAAAAATAAAACATCGGAAAATCTAAAAATGGAAAAATTAAAAACATTGATAAACCGAAAATTTGAAGAATCGAAAAATTGAAAATGCGTGAAATCTAAAAGTCGAAAAATCTAAAACCGAAAAGTCGAAAAATTGAAAGATCCTTGAATTGAAACATTAACAAACTCAAAAATCTAAAATTTAAAAAATTCGAAAAAAATTGAGAAACATCAATAAATCGAAAAATTAAAAAATCCAGAGATCGAAAACTCGAAACGTCAAACAAATTGTAAAAATGAAGCGTGGGAAAATCGAAAAATGGAAAAATTAAAAAAAGTCATTAACTGAAAATTTGAAGACTCGAAAAATTGAAAATTCGAGAAATCTAAAAGTCGAAAATTTGAAAGATCTTTAAAATTGAAACATCAACAAGCTAAAAAATCTAAAATTAAAAAATCCAGAGATCGAAAAATCGAAACGTCAAAAAATCGAAGAATCGACATTTTGAAAAATTCCAAAAGAAGAGAAATCGTCAAAAAATCGAAAAATTGTAGAATTGACATTTTGAAAAATTCCAAAAGATGAGAAATCGTAAAAATGAAACATCGGAAAATCGAAAAATGGAAAAATTAAAAAAATTGATAAACCGAAAATTTGAAGACTCGAAAAATTGAAAAGTCCTAAAATTGTAATATCGAAAAATTGAAAATCGTTCCCAGACCTAAGGGCGGAGCCTAATTGCAAAATCCATATTTCCTTACAAAAATTTACCATTTTGAACGTGTTTTAAGTTTCTAAGAATAAAAAAATCATCACAATTGAGATGGGGTGGGTGGGCGGGGCTTATATTTTGCCTTTTTTTTTTTCATATTTTACATAGTATTCTTTGAACAACACAATGTTCAAAAACATATTTTTAATTTCTTGTAAAAAAAATATTTTGCAGTTAAGCTTGGTTCACGGCGAATAAAAAAAATCATCACAATTGAGATATGGTGGGTGGGTGGGCTTAAATTTTCCCTTTTTGTTATAATATGTGGAAAATTCTTTTCACAACATCAAACTTAAAATGTGTTTAAAGTGGAAAATTTGTATAAGGAAATATCTGTTTTATTTCCTTGCAAAAATGTACCAATTTAACCATATTTTAAATTTCTTGTTGTGACAAAATGGCTGTATATATTAAGAAAAAAAAAAGAAAAATATAAGCCCCGCCCACCCGCCCTATCTCAATTCTGATGATTTTTTTATTCATCGTAAGCCGAGGGGCGGAGCTTAATTGTAAAATCCTTATTTTTCTAGGAGAAACTACTACGTGAAATATGTTCTTAAGTAATCGTGTTATACAAAGAAAACTAAATGTATTAATTAAAAAAGAAACCCATCCGTCTCGATCTCAAAACTGTATTCATTCATAGCCCCGAAAAACTAGTGACGTCATCTCAAAAGAATTTTAAATGAGATGAACATTTTGTTACGTTATTTCTTTAAAATAAGTATTTTCTGTTAATAAGAAAATTAAATATTTTGTTACAAATCGATGTTTTAAGTGTTGTAGACATTCTGGCAGACATTATTTACCTTACTGTGTTATCTATAATTTTGTTGCACAATATTTTAATATTAACTTGAAATATATATTATTCAGGTAACGATAATTCTAAATCTACTTAAAGTTTCCATTTGTTATCTGAACTCGATATAGGAACATTTTACGTCACTTTTTTTATCCATGTTTACGATTACAATTTTCGACGTTGCCAGATTTCAGTTTTTCAGGATAACTTTTAAACACTGACATTGATTACATTACGACCACTTAGTTACTAAGTGTGGATCAAATTATAATAGTACGAGTAGTTAAATCTGAGTTAATACTCTTCCATCTCCATACATATTTTTTTGGACAAACAATTTCAAGTACTAATATCCCTATCGCCAATCCAAGGCCAGATAAACGATAGGCAGCATTAACAATCCCGATTTTGTTTCAATCTAGTTACCTCTCCACACTTTACCCTCTTTCTTCCAGCAACTACAAAAATGGATTTAGGCGTTTTAAAGGGTCCAGTGGAACTTTTAGCATCGAAAGTCAAAGCCTTCAAAAACTGTCTCGACCTCGCCACGGAATGCCTCACCAACAAAGACTACATGAACGCAGAAATGATCTACGGCGGCATTTTAGCCGACCTGCACAAAGACTGCATCGTGGAAGCACTCGGCCTCAACGACCTCGAGCTTTTCTCCCTACACAGCTGCTTCGCCTACTCGTCCATCGGTGCCGACTACAAATCCGAACAAGCCCTGGTCATCCTAAACTCGATCCACAAACCCATCAAATTGCCGCTGGTGCCTTATTTGAAAGCTTTCGTACACATTTCGAACGATAGGTATCTGATAAGACGTGTTTACCGCAGATGATCTCATTTTTTATTATAGATTATCGTTCGCTCACGACGAATTGCAGTGTTGTCAGACGCTCCTCAACAACGGGTACAACTTCAAACCCAACAGTATTCTAAACGAGGATATTATTCCGGAGATCAACGACGAGTTTTTGAAGTTGAAAATAAACGGTCTGAGGTTTGCTTGGTGAGTTTGGTGGGATAAGTGTTTCCGTTTACTCATTTCTGACGTTAGCGAGTTGCTCAAGGCTAAAGAAGATAACGAAGATTTGAAGAAGTGCTTTAAGGAGAATTGGTTGAAAATCGGGAAACTGTGCGAAACGGACTTCGCGAAGTTGTCGAAGAATAAGAAGAAAGGGAAGGAGGATGACGACGAACCACCTAAGGAGGTAGTTGAAGAGAAGAAAAAGAAGGCAACCGGCGCTATTAAGAAAACCGAGAAACAGATAGTGAAGAAGACCGAAATCGGAATTCAAGCGACACCAGCCAAAGGAGTAGCTATCGGAGTAAGTATTTTATGTTGGTGTTAGAACGGACGTGACTTAAAAAGTATAGGTACAAACCACCATGGAGAAGGAAGTGAATAAACAGTTATTAACCGCAGTATTAGAGATAAAAAACAAAATGAGCAACATGCAGGCTAAAAAGGATACCGAAATTAAACAATTACAAAAGAAAAATACCGAACTTAATGACAAGTTAATCGCCCGTGATAACAAACGACAAGAAAAATTAACCGAGTTTGAGTTCGTAAAAGAGCAATATATTACCTTAGAAAAGAAATATGAGCAATCGCTTAAACAAATCGAGATTCTGCAGAAAATGTTGATAGAGCAATTGCAACAAAAATATCAGATGCAGAAGAACATATATCAGTTGTGAGTTTTACTCTCTCGGGAGTTTTTGTAAGACGCGTTCTTGCAAAAACTGTATAATCTCGTCTTTCAGGTTTGAGGAAAAATGTGACTACAAAATTGAGTATTTATGTGACATTCAAAAATATTTACACCCTAGTGATAGACCTACTCCAGATGAGTGCAAGCAAGAGGTAACTATGTGGAAAAATACCCTCATCAAAATTTCTGGAGCGAAAAGAGATTTCGAGGTAAGATGGATAATCCAAGACTAGCTGTTGCTAATGGAGAGTTAAGGTCTATTATAGGGGTATTGATGACTTGATTGTTGCTAAAAAGTACCCCACGGTAAAAACAAACGACTGGCCACCAATTCCAGTCATCCCTAACGACGTACAGGACGTGATATACAGAAACTTCAGGATAATCATGCAACAAAGCAAGTCTCTGTTTAACAGTCTAACATTCCCCAACAAGTAAGTTTTTTGCTTTAGTAGCACCCTCAGTGACACAAAATTTCAGTATGTCCACTGGGACCCCCCTTTTCGGGAATTTTGGGAATTACAAAGAGAACGAGCACAATCCGAACTTCTTCGTTAATGGGTACAACGGCTATAAAGAGGATGGTAGGACAACAGGGTCACCCAATTTCTTCGGAAAATTTAACCCCACCCTTCCGTTTACCAACGGAAATAAACTTCCACCGTATCCGCTTAACCAGCAGTTCCACCAACCCCCACCACCACTATATCCACTCCCAATACCACGTTCACAGTATTCACCACAACCACAAAACAAAAAACCAGAAGTGGCACCACCATCACCCACATCAAGTGAACCAAACAACTCGTGTAAATCAGAGCAGGAGTTGCTCAAATTTCTACAATACAACTTCAAAGAGGTACCAGAGGAGGAGCTACTGGGTGCGATATGCGTAGTGCGTGATCTGTGTGGAGGGTCGCTGATAGGTTTCCCCAAAAAGAGTCTAGTGGAAGAAATTAAAAAGGTACTCAAGAAAAACGCAGGTGCTAAATCTAGTTGGAACAACATTGTGAAAACGCAGTGGCAAAATGACCACTCGGATAATAAATGTTGCATCTGTTTCGAGGATTACGACACCACGAGTAGTCACAGTCTTCCCTGCCAGCACGAATTTCATAAAAGAGTAATAATTCTATACAAAAAAATATACCCAAAGTAACGATTTTTTTCCAGTGTATTACAAACTGGCTCAAAGTACAGAGCGCATGCCCAGTTTGCAGAGTTCATGCTGTTATCGACGAGGAGTACCCGCCTCTCAAAGTTTAACTATATATCAATGATTATTTTAATATTGTTATCGATTTAATTGTGTTTGTTGTATTTTTACGTGTGTTCAAGAAAAACGCGCGAGAAGTTTTTATTTGGTTATTGAAATAACACAACATGTGTTAAGAAGTATGGTTATGTATGTTAAAAGTTGTTACGGTTGTATTTTCTGAACACACCATATAGTATTAAGTAGAGTTCGTTCATGTTAATTTTTTAAATCTTATTAACTAACTTTTGTATCAATGTACTTTATCATATCGTAATATAATTTGCTACGGTTATTTGTTGTCTTAATTTTCCCAATTAAATTTTAAGAATTTACCATTTTAAACACATTATTTTTTGCCTTTTTTTCTTAATTACATATATTTTGAAACACGATATTCAAAAACATGTTTTTAATTTCTTGTAAACAAATAAGTATTTTGGAGTTAAGCCACGCCCCCTGGGTTCACGGTGAATAAAAAAATCATCACAATTCAGATAGGGCGGGTGGGCGGGCTTACATTTTGCCTTGAAACTTAAAACATGTTTAAAATAAAACATAGAAGGAAATATCGATTTTGCAATTGGTCTCCGCCCCATAATTGCATATTTTCTCGCAAAAATGTACTATTTTAACCATATTTTAAGTTTCTTATAGTAAAAAGTAGGCTATGTATATTAAGAAGAAAAGGCAACATATAAGCCCCGCTCACCCGCCCTATCTCAATTCTGATGATTTTTATATTCGTCGTAAGCCGAGGGGCTGTGGTGACCGAATTTGAATCAAATTTTCGCGCCGAAATTAATTAACAGCGGCGCGAAATCACATTTGAATAATTTGAATGTGAATTTGAAAGAAAGAAAAATTCAATCAAAAAATCGTGACACATAGGCAACCATATATGCACGTTAGCGCTTGGGGGTACTTCTGCATGTTTTAGCAGTGATGGTTTTAGTTAGAGAGCGGCATGTTGAAAGCGTGGGTCATTGTTGTTTGGTTAGGTGATGGGCGGGTGCATGGTGAAAAGACGCTATAAGTAGCTAGATTAAATTGGTTGGTTTGGTAGTTAATAAAAGGGAGTAAGCCTTTGTTTAACGACAATCAATCGTAACTCCGATGACGACACAGTTTTCCCCCAACACGTGTAGCTAATTCTTGCGGGTTTTAATCGAAAAACACGCGATCTTTCAACGCGAACCACGTGGTGTAAATTTGTTTTATTGTTTGTAAATTCACCAATCAAATTAGTTTTTTTTATCGTCAAATAGTGCTAACACACTTTAACAATAAGGATTACTTAAATAAACCACTTACTAGATTTCATCGAATTCATTTAGTCAGGATAATAATTCTTTGTTTAACAAATTACGAATGAAGTTTCTGGATGCATATACGTAAGTGTTACATTATAACACTTATTAATTCTTCACACAAGATTACTAATAGTTCAGGGGATAAAATAACTTCCCTTAGGCAGTTATCATCGTTATTATCATCGTATCACTGAGGCATGTCCTCGCCACACTAAAGATTGATTACATCACCGATACGCTTATTCCTCGCAACGCTAAAATTTACATCATCGAGGTATTTCCTCGCAACGTTAAAATTTACATCATCGAGGTATTTCCTCGCAACGATAAAATTTACATCACCGAGACGCTTCTTCCTCGCAACAATGACTGGATATTTTTGTGTTTGTTTATTATGTGTTTTGTTGGGTAACCAGTTCGCGGTACTATAAACGCTCAAAGTAAAATGTTTTTTAAGTAACCAATCACTTGGATCATGACATAATTTGACATAATGCAGACTTTTTGTTTGAATCGTTGATAAAGTGTGGCAAAAATTAATCTCATGTAAATTTTGTTAACTCTGCAAATTTTCACCTCATACAATATTTCTTAATCTCACAATTTTAACTTCAGTAAATTTCTTTGTTGTATAATTTTAATTGAACGTAAATTTGATGCTCTACAGTTTTAACATTACATAATATTTTTATTTGCACAAGTTTATTTCACATTTTTTAAATTTGTGATATGCAAATATTTGCATTGACTGAGAACGTTTAATTTGAGTTCATTCCATTTCATTCAAAGTTTTTTTTCGAGCTGAGCTGAGGGGTGTCCTCACCCGGCACAACTTAGTCGCAGCCAAAGATTAAACCCCACCCATACCCACCCCGCTCTCAATTCTCAATTGTGATGAATTTTTCATTCGATGTCAGATCGAGGGGCGTGGCTTAATTGCAAGATCAACATTTGTCTGCAAGAATTTACCATTTTAAACATGTTTTAAGTTTCTTGTTCTGAAAAAACGACTACGTATATTAAGAAAAAAGGCAAAATATAACAAAATATAAGTCTCGCCCACCAGCCCTATCTCAATTGTGATGATTTTTTTTTTTTTCGTCGAGAGCCAAAGGAGAGGAATTTAATTGCAAAATCCTTATTAAATCTCTCAAAGAAAATGTATATAGTAAGAAAAAATTAAAGCCCAAGATTAAGCTCCACCCATATCTGCCCTGATATAAATAGTAAGTCGTTTTTCATTCGTTGACAGACCTAGGGGAGGAGCCTAATTGCAAAATCCATATTTCCTTACAAAAATTTATCATGTTAAACGTGTTTTAAGTGTTTAAGAATGAAAAAAATCATCACAATTGAGATGGGGTGGGTGGGCGGGGTTTATATTTTGCTTTTTTTCTTAATATGCTTAGTATTATTTCAACAACACGATACTCAAAAACATGTTTGTAATTTCTTGTAAAGAAATAAGTTTTATGTAGTTAAGCTTCGCCCTCTTTGTTCACGGCGAATAAAAAAAAATCATCACAATTGAGATAGGGCGGGTGGGCGGGCTTAGATTTTGCCTTTTTGTTTTAATATGTGTAGGCTTCTTTACACAACATGAAACTTAAAACATGTTAAAATGGAAAATTTGTATAAAGAAATATCGATTTTGCAATTTGGCTTCGCCCCATAATTGCAAAGTCCATATTTCCTTGCAAAAAAGTACCATTTTAACCATGTTTTAAGTGTTTTGTTGTAAAAAGATGAATATGTATATTAAAAAAAAAACGGCAACCGCCCACCCGCCCTATCTCAATTCTGATGATTTTTTTTTTATTCGTCGTAAGCCGAGGAGCGAAGCTTGATGCAAAATTTCAGCCCATTTGGAGAAACCCTCAAAAATCACTCCCAAAACAATAACCTTACAGACTAGGGGTTAAAAATGCTCCAATCCAATCAAAATCCGATATTTGCTTATTTCTTAATACGAAGATTGTTGATTCAAAATTTCAAGCCGTTCGGAGAAACCCTTAAAAATCACCCTTAAAACAGATTTGCAGTCTGGGTGTTAAAAATACTCCAATCAAGTCAAAACTCGGCATTTGCTTATTTCTCAACACGAAGATTGTTGACACAAAATTTCAACCCGTTCGGAGAAACCATTAAAAACTACCCCCAAAACAACCTTGCAGACTGGGGCTTAAATATACTCTAATCAAGTCAAAATTTGACATTTGCTTATTTATCAAAACGAGGATTAGTGATCCAAAGTTTCAATGCATTCGGAGAAATCCTTAAAAGAAACAGACTAGGGATTAAAACAGCGTCGGACTGGCTCGCCCGGCTACCCGGCGAGAAATAAGCAAATGTCGAGTTTTGAGTTGATTGGGGTATTTTTAACACCCAGTCTGCAAATCTGCTTTAAGGGTGGTTTTTAAGGGTTTCTCCGAACGGTTTGAAATTTTGTATGAACAATCTTCGTATTAACAGATAAGCAACTGTCGACTTTTGACTTGATTGGAGCATTTTTAACCCCCAGTCTGCAAAGTTGTTTTGGGGGTAGTTTTTAAGGGTTTTTGCTAATCGAATAGGCTGAAAATAGGCTGAAATTTTGTATCGATAATTCTCAAATTGAAAAACTAGCGAATGTCAAATTTTGACTTGATTCGAGTATTTTTAGGCTCCAGTCTGCAAGTTTGTTGTGGGGCTGGATTTTAACGGTTTCTCCGAACGGATTGAAATTTTGAATCAACAATCTTGGTATTGAGAAATAAGCAAATATCTAGTTTTAACTTGATTGAAGCATTTTTAACCCCCAGTCTGCAAGGTTGTTTTGGGGGTGATTTTTGAGGGTTTTGGGGTGAAATTTTGCATCAATAATCCTCGTATTGAAAAACTAACGAATGTCAAATTTTAATTTGATTAGAGTATGTTTAAGCCCCAGTCTGCAAGGTTGTTGTGGGGGTAGTTTTTAACGGTTTCTCCGAACGGTTTGAAATTTTGTATCAACAATCTTCGTATTGAGCAATAAGCAAATGTCGAGTTTTTACTTGGTTGGGGCATTTTTAACCCCCAGTCTGCAAATTAGAAACGCCTCAATTTTCGACGTTGCCAGATTTCAGTTTTTCAGGATAATTTTTAAACTAAAAAAATACTAACATTGATTACATTACGACCACTTAGTTATCAAACAGTTTCAAGTTTCAAGTACTAATATCCCTATCGCCAATCCAAGGCCAGATAAACAACAAGGAGCATTAACAATCCCATTTGTATTTCAATGTAGTTACCTCTCCACACCCACACTTTACCCTCTTTCTTCCAGCAACCACAAAAATGAATTTAGGCATTTTAAAGGGTTCAGTTGAACTTTTAGCATCGAAAGTGAAAGCCTTCAAAAACTGTCTCGATCTCGCCACGGACTGCCTCACCAACAAAGACTACATGAACGCAGAAATGATCTACGGCGGCATCCTGGCCGACTTACACAAAGACTGCCTCATGGAAGCTCTCGGCCTCAACGACCTCGAGCTTTTCTCCCTACACAGCTGCTTCGCCTACTCGTCCATCGGTGCCGACTACAAATCCGAACAAGCCCTGATCATCCTAAACTCGATCCACAAACCCATCAAACTGCCGCTGGTACCTTATTTGAAAGCTTTCATACACATTTCGAACCATAGGTAGCTGATAAGATGTGTTTACGGCAGATGATCTTATTTTTCATTATAGATTATCGTACGCTCACGACGAATTGCAATGTTGTGAGATGCTTCTCAACAACGGGTACAACTTCAAGCCCAACAGTATTCTAAACGAAGACATCATACCGGAGATCAACGACGAGTTTTTGAAGTTGAAAATAAAGGATATGAGGTCTGCTTGGTGAGTTTGGTGGGATAGGTGTTTCCGTTTATTCATTTCTGACGTTAGCGAGTTACTCAAAGCTAAAGAAGATAACGAAGATTTGAAGAAGTGTTTTAAGGAGAATTGGTTGACGATCGGGAAACCGTGCGAAACGGACTTCGCGAAGTTGTCGAAGAATAATAAGAAAGAGAAGGAGGATGACGACGAACCGCCTGAGGAGGTAATTGAAGAGAAGAAAAAGAAGTCCGGGCAGAAGGAAACCGGCGCGATTAAGAAAATCAAGAAACAGATAGTGAAGAAGACTGAAATCAGAATTCAAGTGACACCACCCAAAGGAGTAGATATCGGAGTAAGTATTTTATGTTGGTGTTAAAACGCACGTGACTGAGAAAGTATAGGTACATACCACCATGGAGAAGGAAGTAAATCCACTTGGAACAGCATTATGAAAACGCAGTGGCAGAGTTCGTTCACATTAATTTTTTAAATCTTATTAACTAACTTTTGTATCGTACTGTATTATATTGTAATATAAATTTGTTGAATTTTCCCCATTACATTTTGAATAAACCGCCGTCGCGATGACACCTCGACAAACGAAAAGTCCCTAACCGGCTGCCAATTTTTGTTGACAGTCGACTGTCTAACCTTATTTAAAATGCGAATATTTTAAAAGATAAAAATAAAAAACACACACAATTCGTAACGAAATACAGTACAAGACCATGATTTTTTCAGATCCGTTGCTTTTCGCGTTCTCTCTTTTGAATACCGGAGCGGTATTATTCCTTCTCGTATATTTTGTATCCTTTTTGGGTTTATTATTAATGGGATAATAGCGAGTCATTACGTTTATTATGTTCTTTAACTCGATTATAGGTAATTACTTTGTCCGACTTAGAATGTGATTATCTAAATGCACAAGAATGTTGTTCGAAACTGAATCAGTGGACTCTGCCGAAATTAATAGCACATGGGTTTCTATCGTTTATGTTTTTAATCCACGGGCACTGGATTTTAACACTTATCAATCTGCCAATGGCGATGTGGATGGTGTATGAAATAACAGCGGTGCCAAGTGGGAATTTGGGCATTTATGACCCGACTGAAATCCATAACAGAGGTCAATTAAAAAGGCACATGAGAGACTGTATGATTCATTTAGGTTATTATTTGGTGTTCTTCTTTATGTATTTATATTGGTAATGTAGTCACTTTTATTTAAAACTCAATAACTGTGTTATTTTTAGCATGATCGTGGCGTTGCTCAAAGGCGATCCAATCAACAGAGATGACCAGTTCGAAATAGACTCATAATGTGATCTGTAATACTCATATTTATTGAAATAAAACAATACATTTATAAGCATTTTATTGAAAGAAAACAGTCAGGATTAAAGAACCCACAAACATGAGAACAATAATTTTAATTTAAATTATCAAAATGACACGGTTATAAAAAAGACAATATATTTCACTGGGCTTTACTTAAAGATTTTGCCTTGGTTAAATTTCCGTCCCTTTTTGTCCTCGCCCGTCCACGAGAAATATTGGGCAACTAATTTTTTCGTATCTTCAGACTTGGCGTCCAGTTTCTTCCACTCGTACGACTCATAGTCGATTTGCCAGTCAGGACTCAACTAAAACACCACAAATTTAAACCAAATTTGGTACAAAATAAACGACTTACTGGAAAGACGAGTTCATGTCCTCTCCAAACCCAAATACCGGAAATGGAACTGTTATTGTCTTCTCCAAACAAACACACTGAAGCGAAAGCCTGCTTGCGCATTTTATCCAATCTCTGATACATTCCAGTAATCAAATTACAACTCATAAAAACTTTTGACAATTCCTCTGGATACTTATATTCACCAAACCAGATTGAGTAATTTTCAGGATCAAACTTTTCCCAGAAATAGGGAATGGATTTGGCTTCATCCTCATTGGAATAAAACCGTTTAAAATCGTCCATATTGAAAGTACCTTTAGGTAAAGAATCAAATGGATCCTTAGACTTAGGTTCAGCAGCCAAAGCTTCCTCCGAAGCATCCAGTTCTTCAGCGGGTTCTTTCTCCTTCTTAGGTGTCTCTTTCTTCTGTTGCTGCTGCTGCTGCTGCTGCTGTTGTTGCTTCTTCTCTTTCTTCTCTTCCTTCTTCTTATTTTTACCTGTCACAAAAACTTATCAAAATTCGTGTTACACGCAAATCACACTTACTCTTTTTCTTATTCTTCTCCGCAATATTACAATTATTAGCAGCTTGTAAAGTTAGTTTTGTTAGTTATAAAGAAAATAAATGTAGGGTCTTACCTTCATTGCCCCCTGGTGTGGCACCAAAAGGTTGTGCAACTTTGTCCAAAAATTGCACCTGACCCAGAACAGTCTTAAACTGAGGTTGATTAACTAAAGTGGTGAACCATCTATTCACATTTATGAACTGCTTTCTAAACTCGGGGTCAAAAGCAAATTTGTATAGGTTCAAGAGGTTGCACGATATTACAATATCAGCTAGAGTGATACGTTCTCCTACTAGGTAAGTACGTGTAAGCAAATGGCTGTCCAAGATGTTGAGAGCGGCTTTCATGTCTTCCTTAGCTCTAGAATATGCCTACAAAAATTTATTTAAAGTTATCACCTTAAAGACTGACTAATTTGAACTGTCGCAACTGTTCTAAAACTGGTCTGATTTTAAACCAAACCCCCTTATAGGTCACAATTGCTCACTATCCCTCTTTGAGTTACAAATCAATCAACACCAATTAATTTGCCTTTGAAAGAGGTTCTAACTACACAATCTCGCACTTACTTCTTCAGCTGCAGGATTTTTCTTAATTACTCCTAAAATCGGGAACACCCAAGCGCATCCAGCTGGTAGAATTTCGGACTCTCCAAATCCGACCCATTGCAGAACTTGTGCCTTTTCATAGTCCGACTTGCCTCTTAGTTGTTCGTTCGCCACGTAATACGCGATCGCGTTGCTGTCTTGCAAGTATTTGCCGTCGTTTGATTCAAAAGCTGGCACCTGCAAACTGTCCAGTGTGACCTAACCTCAATACTGTCACTTCTCCGGCTCACCTTTCCGCTGGGAAATTTCTTTAGAAAGTCCTTCGCCTTGTTGGTCTCTCCGAACACGAAATTTGGACATACTTTTACGTTCGCGTTGGAATACTGAGCTGCAATCAGTGCTTTTGAAGCACGGAAATTGTCGGCATAGGTGTACAGTGTCTGAAAAAATAAAAACAATCCTGTCAAAAATTACGCTCTATTTGGGGAAATACGGGCATGAGAGGGTGAGATTGTGTCATGAATGCGAGATTTTTCGCGAAATATTGATGAATACTTACTCCCGCAGCCATTGCTCGTACAGATTTACACAGAAAAGGAGTTGGGAAGAGTTTGACAGCTGCATAGGGACTTTCGAGTTGGTGTGGTTCTGACGTGTCGGTGAAAGATTTCACCCCAGAATATCATATATAGTATACTGTGATTTCACTCTCTTTCACTTTATTTGTGGATTTTGGATGTTTAGAACGTTTTCTTTGGTTTTGTAAGAAAGGAAGGAAAAAGTATCCGTAATTAGTCACTAGGTGTTGTCTGGAATTTGTTTAAATGATATTTTTCTGCAATAAAAAAGTTACTAGAAGCCGGGAGATTTAAAAAAACTGACAGCGCAGGACCGTAATAAAAATATCTGTGGAAGAGACGGCTGTTGACTGTTAATTTTGTACTCACAAGAATGTAAGTCTAATTAAAGAACAGTGTTTGTTAAAGCAGCGAAACAAAACTTGGTCCAAGGTATTAGACAGAACTAACCTCGCTCCTGAAGTGCATTCCAACAAATCCAACTTCTTCAATACTACTTGTTAAAATGAGACTGATTTTGGCAAATGATATAATCTTTAAGAAAACAGAGGGCGGGTGGGCGGGACTTGTATTTACTGAGATCAGATTGATTTGGGCAAATGACGTACCCTCTAAGAAAATTTGATTTTTTGGAAATGTTATTTTTTAATGATAATCCCGATAACTATGGACTGTCAAAATACAGAAGTAACAGAAATTACAATGTGAATAGGTGCAATGTAATACTGATAATAACAGTATTGTATCCCGAAATTTTTGGGAAAATAGGGTGACTTGATCAATAAAACACATTGCTTCATTAATTATTATTTATTTTCAGTCTCCCTGTGTAAGAAATTCTATATTAAAAGTAGAACGTTCGCCCACACTGCTAATATAAAATGAAAGGGCGAGTTCATAAACCACAAGGATAGGAGTATGTTATTTTATAAAATTTAAGTAGCTTTTTCGCATTTACACGATATTCCTAAAATGCATACAAAATTTTACAACAATCATTGTATCAGTTTTAATGATCTGTCTAATAAAATCGTCAACAGACCACAGGCGAACGACAGACAGACCTATGGGAGACCTACTTTTTCATACTTCAGGGGTCTTGAAACGTCGAGGAAGATGAAAATAGCCGTTCACTGCTTCGACTCCATTGCGATACTTCTCTAATTGTAATGAATTCTCAAGACTATCTTTAACCCTCGAGCGGGCGCGCGTTCTGACATTCCAAGAGCGGGCGCGTCGTGTATTTTGTACACAATGAATAGATGTGTCGTTTAAATGTTAAATTAATGTTTTTTATTAAGTAGAAATGTTGACATTTCCTTTATCATTTTATTATTTCAATAATTAAACAACATATGACGCTTTAGATATAAAAATTTATTTACAAAATTTAACAAGAATGTAAGACAAAAATCAATCACTTTCGATTTATCTTTTCCTATAAAGTTGTCATTAGATGACATCAAACTAGTTCCAGGATCATTAGGAAAATCTTCTGTATTGCTACAGTCCGCGAGAAGTTCAATTTCAGATTCAGAGTCGTGACCACTGAACGCAACTACTTCTTCATCCGTTTCTGAAATATCTTCATTTTCTAATTCAGTTGGCTCCGTTTCTGAGTCTTCATCATGCAGAATTCTATACAGCTCATCATCTGTTAGGTAACGTCTTCTAGCCCTACAAAATTTATATAAGATCACAAAATTTATTGGCATTCAAAAACTTACATATTTTTAGTTCTTTTTCAATCGGTGTCTTATACAAAAATTAATAAAACGTCCCTTGAAAATCTGAAAACAATAAAAATATGATTTTATAACTAATTAATTTCATGCAACAGGTTACTAATTGAATGAATATAAACAAATGTTGCGCTAAAAATGACAAAATATTAAATACTTACATCAGAAAGCGCGGCGTGTACTCTATACACAACACGGGAGAGATTCTTGTTTTTGCTAACTGTTTAGTTCTCACACTCACAAACAAAAGTTTTACTTGACCACTCGAAAGACCAAACTCGACTAGAGGAATACCTGAATCTACCCGACCGGATGTTGTATTATGCTAATTTTAGAACCAATAATCTGGTCACCGTGTACAAAATACACGTGCGCGCCCGCTCGAGGGTTAAACGTAAAGAAAAATTAATATAAAATAAAAATTTCTATGAAAAAATGGATTAGGTCGAGAAAATAATCTACTCAGAAAATAAAATCACCGGAGAATTTATGCCGTATAATTGTGTATAATTGGTTGCATATACCTATGATGTTTGTATTTTGCTATTTATTTTGAATAAATTTCTACGTATCTACAATTTATATTATGTTATGTTATATATGCATTATATTTGTTTATTTACCTTTATTAAGTTACCATAAACATTACAAAATACTTGTTGAAGATATTATTTATAAAATTAAATTTTGAAAACTATATCCTCGGTACAAAAATTCTCTTAGTACTTTTTTGCCAATCACAAATAAATAAATCGATAGATAGATAAATAAATAAAAGTTTATTGTCATCGGTTGCTTAAAAGGGGTCAATAAGTAAATTTTAGTCAATATTTGTTATTACATCAATACTAATGTGTAAATATAAGTTTAAAAATATTTCAGAAAATTGAACCGACGTTACTATTTTAGTAGAAACGGCAAAGAGACAAATTATAGTTAGTGCTTTACCATCAACACGATCCTATTAAAGCACTTACGAAATTTCAAAATATCAGTTCCAGTTTCATAGATTATCCTCAGAATAAAGCCGCCAACAGAGACAGTAACAGAAAGTTATATTTTCGTATTCTACAAGCTGCGAGACCTGAAGAAAACACGAAATATAATGGCATCCCCTTAAAATGTTGTACAGTCGCGGCCATAGAAAACTGGGTCACTAGATTTGACACACATTTTCAAATTAAAAAAAAGAATAGAGTTTAATTAATGTTTTGTTTAACAAATCAAATGATTTTGAATTTTGACAAAGTCATTGTCCCATTTTTTAAATCAGGAGCGAACATTCAAATTGCTACTGTGATAACTCAAACATCTCGCCTTAAACTGACATTGAAAAAAAAATTGAAAAGCCCGCAAAAAATTCAAAAATTCAAAAATTGGTCTTGGCTGTGATCGTCTGACAAAATGGAACCTACGTTGGCGGCATCCTTTGTGCAGATGGCGCGATAAATCCCGCCAGCTCGACTAGGAACCGCGTACTCCGCTTCCACCACGTATTTCTGTGTTGTTTAACCTCAATTCCATTTAAATGTTCAATTTTTATAACTCTGATATTAAACTGCAACTAAACAAGTATCAAAGTTTCAAAAAAAAAACAATAAACAACATTTAAATTCGCCATACACAAAGAATTCTTATCTGCGATTAAGATTGGACGTCAGACAATTTATATGATGAAAACATGGTAGAACATCAATCAACAAAATATTTACAAAACAAAAACTAGCAAAGATTTATAAAAACAAAAAAGATAAGGTGTGAAGTAAAACTTCTGCAGACAAACGTGAGGTTAGAAGCTGCAGAGCATGAAAATTTACGTTCAATTTAAATTATGCAACAAAGAAAATTACTGAAGTTAAAATTGTGAGATAAAGAAAAATTGCATGAGGTGAAAAATTGCAAAGCTAGCAAAATTACGTCAGTTTAATATTTGCCACACTTTATCAACGATTCAAACAAAGAGTTTACATTATGTTAAATTATGCCACACTTTATCAACCATTCAAACAATGAATTTATATGATGTTACATTATGCCATAATCGAAGTGAATGGTTACTTAAAACAATATGTTTTGAGAGTTTATATCGTGAACTGTTTATCCCAAATAAAACACATTATAAATATACAACACAATGTCTCGGTGATGTGATGATGCTATGATGATAATAACGATGACAAGAGGAGAGAAATCTTGAGAGAAATTTAACTGCCGTAAATGAACTATTAGCAATATTGTGTTAAGAATTAAGAAGTGTTATAATGTAGCACTTACGTATTAGCATCCAGAAACTTATTCATAATTAGACAAACAAAATCAAACGGGTCTTTACTAAGTGAATTTCATGAAAACTCCTGTAAGTGTTTATCTAAACAAATTCTTGATTGTTAAATTGTTTTAGAACTAGTTAACGATTAAACTCCTAACATGAACTGTGAATTTACAAACAATGAATCAAATTTACTTGTGTTAGCGTCGGTCAAAAACCGCAAGAATTAGCTACGATTAATTTTCGTTAAACAAAGGTTTCCTCCCTTTTTATTAACTACCAAACCAACTCAACTTAGCTAACTCACCGCGTCTTTTAACCATGCTTTCACTCACGAAACCAAAACAACAGTGAAGGGCCGCGACTCTCTGGCAACCTAGCACACCTCGCTACCAAGCCGCCCTCTTCTACCATCCATCTAACTAAACCCACTACCCAAAAAGCGCTAACGTGCACATGGTTGCCTATGTTTAACGATTTTTTTATTGAATTTGCTGTTAATTTTTTTTAGCGCGAAATTTTAATTCAAATTCGGTCACCACAATACCTTCCACGATATTCATTGTTGTTGTCCCCGTCATTCTGGAATTTGCCCACACGTTTCTGGTTCCCATTACTACCTGGAAAAACAACAGCTGTTCCTGAAATAAGAAAAAATGTACTCCTATATTTTTATGTGTATATCCCGGTGACAGCAAAATAACGTCTGAAAATAAAATCATAACATCATGAAGTTGAGAACATTTTCAGTCATTAATCTTAATGCAGGGGCAAAAAATACCAAGATCCACAATTCAGTATTACAAGCAAGCACTAGCCCCGCCCACCCACCCTCTATTTTCTTAAAGAGTATGTCAATATCAGTCTTACCTTAGCAAGTCCTTGCCCTGCCCACCTGCCCCCTATTTTCTTGAGAGCGGGTGGGCGGGGCTAGTATTTACTAAGATAAGAGTGACTTTTCTAAACAATATACCTTCTAAGAAAATAGATTCCTAGTATTTTTAAGGCAACACTGATTTTGCCGAATGACATACCGTCTAAGAAAATAGAGGGCGGGTGGGCGGGGCTAGTACTTAATATGATAAGACTGATTTTGACTAATGAGAGGGTACATCATTTACCAAAATCAGTCTTACCTTAACAAGTACTAATATGCATACTGCACTATATAATAATATACTCCAGCGCGAGGAATTATTTGGCAAAATTTTAAGACGACGTCATCAATTTTTGAGGAAATGAACAGATACATTTTATATTTACACATATTATTAGTCTAATAAAAATCGACACAGACAACAGACAGCCGATGGACAGGCTTACGGGAGGACGGACAGGCGGACAGATGGAATAGCGCATGGGCGGACAAGTTGACGGACAGACAGGCGGACGGACGGACAGACGGACCAATTTTTACTTCTTACTATTATTTTCTTTATCATAAGAATAATGAAAACTTACATTGAAAGCTCAGTTCATTTTTGTCTTTAAAAAAGGATATCAACTTTTTTCGTTTTTATAGAAAACAAAAAAAACTTGAATGCAGTTTGTGTTATTCTACACAAAAATTAAAAAACTTACTCACTATAAATTATTTTAAACATGAATAAAAAGATATAATAAAAATGACAATTTGTAATCAGACACTTACATAATTCTTTTCTTTTGCTACAAAAAAGCAGATACCTATGCAAATTTTGAGGATCATTCCATTCACGAAAACGCATGACAGAAAATATTTTTGCTACAGTTAAATCTATATGGCTTACAACTACTACGTAATATTACACCATCTACGTTTGGTACAGCCTATATATTTTTACAGTTGTAACTGTACCAAGCTTCATTGTATTCAGTAAACACATTAATTATTTTTTTAGTAGCACCTAAGGCGCATCATTTAAAAATTAAAAACAAAAGTCAAGGTAACTCGTACGACGATTTTCTAGCCATGACTTCATCACATGTAAGTTCTTCGTCCCGTAATTTATGTATCCAAACAATACCACTATTTGCATTCCCATATTTAAGTAATAATTTATTCACGTGGCACGCATAATTTTAATATTTCTTGGTGACATTAACATGCATTTGCACGTAATAAATTAACAGTTAGGTAACAAAAGTATCGTCAAGTATAATCGAAAACAACCAAAACCAGTACGTGCATATTCGGCTTGCAAAATATTTGTACCGGTTGTGGTTCAACACACGATAAGTAACCATACGATGCAATAAAACCCTGAACTTGAGCCGATCAAAATCTCAAGAGCATCGCAGCCTCCGTTAGTTTTTCGCAAATCTGCGTAAATACGTGCTCGACCCATAAACCGGTGACGAAACCGAATTGATTGCGGACGATTTTCGACCATGATTTAGTGAAAAGTGTTTCGTCTGTGTTTGAGTGTGCGTTCATCTCGACTGAAAATCATGAACAAACTGGTATTAGTTTTGCTGGCGACGTCACTTCTTCCAGCCGAAGCTGGTAATAATAGACCGCATATAATTTTCATCTTGGCTGATGATTTGGTGAGTTATTTAAAAATGAGAGGTTTTTGTTTAATCAATTCTTGAAGGGGTGGAATGATGTCGGGTTTCATGGATCCGGCCAAATCCCGACTCCTAATATTGACGCTCTGGCATATTCTGGGTTGATCCTGCAAAATTATTACGTCACGGCGATTTGCACGCCATCTAGAAGTGCCTTAATGACCGGAAAATACCCCATCCATACCGGAATGCAGCACACTGTGCTTTATGGGGCAGAACCCAGAGGGCTGCCACTTACGGAAAAAATTTTACCACAATATTTAAAAGAGTTGGGGTATACGAACAGAATTGTCGGAAAATGGCACCTGGGGTCGTACAAAAGGGTGTACACACCGACGTATAGGGGATTTGATTCCCACATAGGTACGTTGTCGGTCACGTGTTGTATAAGAGGTCTAGCAAAGATAGCTAAATTTTAATACTAGGTTTCTGGACGGGTCACCAAGACTACTTCGACCACACCGCCGTCGAAAACCCAGGCTGGGGCTTCGACATGCGTCGCAACCTAGACCTAGCCTACGACCTCCACGGCCAGTACTCCACCGACGTATTCACTGAAGAGAGTGTCAAAATTATAAAAGACCACAATGTTAGCACCCCACTTTTCCTGTATTTAGCTCACGCGGCGGTCCATTCCGGAAACCCATACAACCCTCTGCCAGCCCCCGACGAAACAGTAGCACAATTTTCGTACATAGACAACTACAAAAGACAGAGATTTGCAGCCATGTTGACAAAACTAGACGATTCAGTGGGTGCTGTTGTGAAAGCACTCTCTGACAAGAATATGCTGCAGAGCTCAGTTATAGTTTTCTCGAGTGACAATGGAGGTCCTGCTGCAGGATTTAACTTAAACGCGGCTTCAAATTATCCTTTGAAAGGGGTAAAGAATACGTTGTGGGAAGGCGGAGTTCGAGGGGCGGGGTTATTGTGGAGTCCTTTGATTAAGAAGCCTCAAAGAGTGGCTAAGCAGATGATGCACGTTAGCGATTGGTTGCCCACCTTGTTGGGAGCAGCGGGAGCAGATATAAGGTATACTATCCTCAAACATATTTGGCGTTTATGACTTCACACCAATTTGACTCCCATTATAATTCAATAGGCCGTCACAACCGGATGTCTTAAACCCGCTCACCGATACCTACCTGAAAAGACCTTTTCTGGTAAAAGCACAGGGCAGGACTGAGTTTTGCATTTACCGACAACTGCGCCTTTCGAGTTTTTTATTTTAAGTAAAAACAAAGTAACTTTGTACTCAATCATTTTTGATTACAGCACAACTATTTACTTATTAACTACTACTGCTTATTTATTGATCGAAATAGTCACTGTCATCATCACTCGACTACAGCCGTGCTCGACTCTTCTAAATTAATAATTAACGGTGTTATCAACCGTACCCTGTACTGGTCTTCTTCTTTTGTGGAATGTCGTACACAATTGGCCCACATTTCGGCAGTTATTTTGGAAGCTTCTTCCCTAATTATGTCAATTGTTGCACTACTAAATTTTGGTGCCGTATTATTCCCTCTTATATTATTTTTCATTTGCGACCAGAAGTCTAATCACCCTAAATCCACGATCTCGCGCCATAGCATCTATTTTATATTGTTTTTCAAATTTTCGAGTGTGTAACACTTCTAATAATTGTGTCTTTGTGTAATTTTCTTCAAAGTATAAATCATGTTCTGTAAGGAAATTTTGAAATTTGAAAATTTTAACAAACAAAATTACTGTGTCCGGTCCTTCGCGTCTCGACCGTCCCTGGCACGTCGAAAAGGTCTTTTCAGGTAGGTATTGGTGAGCGGGTTTAAGACATCCGGTTGTGACGGCCTATTGAATTATAATGGGAGTCAAATTGGTATGAAGTCATAAACGCCAAATATGTTTGAGGATAGTATATAGGTGTAGAACGTAAGATAAAAGCTATCGTGTTTCGTTTCAGCACAGTGCAAAATATCGATGGAACTAACCTCTGGGATTCTCTATCAGACAATACTAGTTCCCCAAGAACTGAAATTTTACACAATATTGATGACATTTATGGAAATTCTGCTCTAACAGTAGGACCGTGGAAGCTTCTACAAGGTTTATATTCGTGTAACGATTTCAAAAATATTTGAGTGTGTTCTAGGTACTACTTACAACGGTGCCTGGGACAACTGGTACGGTCCATCGGGGCGCGAATACGGCTATAATGTATCTCAAGTTATAAATTCTGTGGTCGGACTCGCTCTGAAATCTCTACACCAGCCTTTAACACCTGACGTTATACTAAAATTGCGCAGTTTGGCTGACGTAAACTGTTCCAAACAAAACAAAGCGCCAATTCCATGTGAGCCACTGAAAGAAGCGTGTTTATTCAACGTTGTTGAAGATCCGTGTGAGAGGCGAAACGTTGCTAAAGAGTGAGAATATCGTGAAGTCTGATTAATACCATTGTTTCTGTACTTTCAGGTATCCACAAATTTTGAAAAATTTGCAAGAAATTTTGGAAAAATATGATGCTACGGCGATACCACCCGGGAATCTGCCGCTGGATCCAAGGGGAGACCCCAAATATTGGAATTACACGTTTACTAATTTTGGAGATTATGACAGCACCCTTAACCTAAATTCGTTACAAAAATACACATTTACATCCTACTATCATTAGAGCGCCCTTATAGGACTTGAAAGCGTCAACCCCAATAAGTAATTTAGTTTCCTTTTTGGCGACCTACTGTATTATTTTTTTAATTATGGAAATTGTATAGACACCTATTTTGATTGTTGTTACTCAAAGGTGTTGGCGCTTTTAACTTCTCGAGTGTAAGTTAGAAAAATTGTAATGGGGCCCTTAATGGTAGTGGTATGTATAGAAAATCTTGCACATACATTATTTTTAATACTTTCTAATTCTAAGCTTAAAATGATGAGTTGCATTTTACAGCCAAATAACTGACAAAACTGCGATGTCATCATGACGTTTGACATGTCAGATTTGCTTTTTGACATATGCAGCCATTAAAAAACTGAATTATCTGAAAATTAATGAAATTATCACGGGCAAATATTGTATTTTTTTATTTTGTGTATTGTTTTGTTTTGTTTTTAATAAAATTGAAAATAACTTTCCTCTGATTATATAATTTTAATGAATCCAAGTGTTTCTTATGCAACCAATAATAACTGTCAATTGTTGATACCGATAGTGGGATGTTAGACACAGCGGTCTTTTTGTATCGAATAAAAAGTGAGGTTATGTTTGATTTTGTGATTTCGTAATTTAAACTCGGAAAAAGAAATATACACAGCATGACAACTATGCGACCGTTGCTTTTTACCATTTTCACGAAAACAAAGCCTTTTCAGTGTTTACGAAAAACCGTAAGTGTGTTTTCGTGGTATTAATTAAGATAACCTCAAATTCCAGAGCCTCCACCAAATTCGAAACTCCAGTTACGAATCGAGTAAATTTTTAGTAGACGTAGAAGTCAGTACGAAATATGAAGCTACCAAAATTCCTGAAGAATGGAAGTACGTGGAACGCATACTTCCCCCTACGCTAGTCCCGGAACCTCAACCGTTGCCCGAATATCAGTCAGGTTGGAAGCCACAAGGCGACCACAAGGACAGTCCGTATTTTGTGGAAAGGTCGCGCAATCACATGATGCCCGTGTATCTCGACGTCCGACAAAGAGGAGTCAAGAGACACACTATTATTAAAAAAATTCAAGGGGACATCTGGCTCTTCGAAAAAGACTTGCGCACCTTCTTGGAAGACTTGATCAAACCCAAGCCACTGCGCCTGCAAGTCAACGAATTCGCGCGAAAAATCTGCATAAACGGCGACCACGTCAACGCTATAAAGTACTGGTTAGGCGAAAAGAATTTTTAGGAGTTATGTAATGTATTTATCATAATTACATCTTAATACATCTATAATGAGTTTGGGGTGGCCGAGGCTAAAAATATGCACAAATAGCGGTGCTATAAAAAAAATCACAATAGTATACTTGTATACAAATCACATCTCTAATTCACGACTTAAGTCAATGTCAATTAAGTACCGTCGGTCGAAAAACTCGCTGATGAAGAAACGTCCTGACACAGTTTAGGTTCGCTCATGTCGTTCGCCAGCGCCATTAAAATATCCAAAATTAATTCTTTACTCAACATTCTTAGTCGTGGTAGTTTCGCAACTTTGGTAAAATGGTGGACGATTAAGTCGAGAGCGTATTTTTTCATGTCGGTGGCTTGCATCCCGTCCGCCGCTTCCAAAATCTGGATGACGTTCTCAAACGACACGTTCATTTCGAGGTTCTGCTTGCAGAACGCCTGGAGCCTGTTATTCGTGAAACTGTAAAATAAAGGGGCTGAAAACAGGTAGAGGGAGTCTTCTGGGGGCATGTTCACGTCTCCGCAGTAGATGAAGCGGAGAAGCGAGTGGAATGACTGCAGCGAAGGAATCATTTCTCCAATCTGAATCTAAAATTTAAATTAAATTAGATCATAGTAGGCAAAAGTGAGGTTAGAAATTCGCCCACAAAAATTCGAGACCTTGGTATTTTTCCCGAATTTAAAAAATTTGTAAAATAATGGTGATTTCCGCGTACCTTCACTTTACAATCCGTGGGCATGAAGGAGCGAAACAGCGCCTCAAAGTAGCCGCTGCGCGCCGCCAGGATTGGCTTATGCGCGGGGATCACGTGACCGTCCAACACCAAATCAACGTCGTAGAACGGGGCGCCATGACACTTCAGAAACGACGCCATGTCTTGTTCTAGCGTGGTCCCAGCCAACTCGCCCTGACTCTCACTCACAGCTTTCGTATTACTCGCCGTCTGCTTCAACCTAATAATCTCGATAATCAGTCTACTACTCAAAGTCTCGAACTTCGTCGACATCACGATATCGTTGTAATTCGACTCCTTCACGATGAACCTCAAACAATGATCCTTAATCACCGTCAATTTCAAATTATGCGCCGTCTCCAAAGCCTCCAAAACGTTCGCCATGTTGATGGAGGAGTTCAAATACTGAACGCACAGGTTGTCCAACCTCACCATCCCAAACTCCACCGCCAGCCTGTACACATCCATCATCCTCAAAACATTCTCCGTGGGCAAGCCCCCCTTTTTCGTCGGGTCGATACAGTCCATGTATATGTAGTCCAGGACCAGCTCGAACGCGTCGGGATTGGCCTCCGGGAACTCGATCTCCACCAGCGGGACCTCCTTGAACGGGACGTTCACCGTCCCGAACAATTTTTCCAAGTGAGCGTCCCGCTTGGCCTTCGCCTTCTTCAGGATCGACCTCAGGTGGGCCGAGCGCGCCGCCACGATGGCCATGTGCCCGAAGATCTTCTTCTGCTCGGGCCCCACCAGGAACTGCACGTCGTAGAACTCGTTAGCCGTCAACAGCTTGCCGAAGTCCTCGTGCAGGGTGCACTTGGGGTAGCAGGAGAACTGGAACCTGTACATCTCGCCGCTGCGGACGTTGTTGTCGATCGTGCCCCCGAAGACGAACATGGCGTCGTCGACCACGGCGGCGGCGTGGAAGAGGCGGCCAGAGGGCACGAACGACTCGGGGGCGGGGAGAATAGTGGACCACGTCTGCGAGTCCAAGTCGAAGCAGTGGAGGTCGTTGGACAGGGTGCTGTCGGCGGCGCCCCCGAACACGTACAAGTGGCGGTCGAAGGCCACCATAGTGTGGCCGTAGCGGCGAGCCGGGGGCGGCGGGGCCCCACGAAGGATGTGGTCAGTCGTGATGCGAGTCCACCTAACAAATTATTAATAACCTTAATTAGTCAACCCCTCCACAAAGTTGATGACGTCATTTTGACAATTATTTTAATAAATTGAAAGGATTTTGATTGGTAATTTATACTTACGTATGGGTGTTGAAGTTGAACTGGAACAGCGAATTGGTAATCTGGGCCCCACTTTGTCCACTAAACACGTACATTTTCTCCCTAGCCACCGCCACCGGGAAGTTGCAGCAAGTCGGGGGGCACTCCCCCTGCTGCATCACCTTGACCCAGCACCGACTCTCCCCCTAAAACCCACAATTTCAACTCACACTCTTGAGTCTTGACCCAACTCACATTCAAAGAAATCGTCCACATGTCGTTCAAACGCGCGTTTCCATCATACCCCGCGAAAATCCACAGCTTGTTGTCGTACACCGCGGCCCCATGCGCCGACCGCGGCTCCGGCGTCACCCCCAGGAACCTCCACTCCACCCACTGCCCCGAGTGAAACTTATACTCGAACAAATCGTTCTTGTTGGTCAGGTTGGAATTGGAATGGATGTCACCCGTGTACCCCCCGAACACGAACATGGAGTTCTTGTACACCACGGCGGAGTGGTGGTACCTGGGAGCCGGCGGGCAGCCGTTGGCGAAGGCGCGCCCCCACGACTTCTCCTTCACGTCGAAGCGAAGCAGGTCGTTGAGCATGCTCTTGCCGTTGTCGCCGCCGAACACGTAAATCGCCCCCTTGTACGCGACCACGGTGTGCTTGCTGCGGCGGGCCCCCACGAACTCGTCACATTCGGGCATACGCTTCCATTTGTGGACGGTTTCAAGGGGGCCGATCTCGAGGGTGAGAGCGTTGTCGTAGAGGGCGGCGTCGTCCAGAATGGTCAAGCTGCTCATTTTTTGCCACTTTGTTGACACTGGAAAGTGAGGTTAGGGTCAGGTTTTCGGGGAAAGAAAGTGCGTTGGTGTGTGTTTGTTGGGGGTTTGATGGGGTTTACCTTGGAGTTGACGAAAGTGTTACATTCTTGGACTGTGGAGGCGGGTTTGGGGTTGAAAGTGCTTGTTTTGGTTGAACTGTCAGTGGCGGAACCAGAACGCCCACATAGTGTTTTCATCGATTTGTTCCAGGGCTTTGTTTAGGTTTTTTTGGGAAAATAGTTTTCAAAATCTGTACCAACTTTGTTTCGAATTTAGTGTTCTATTTTCAAAGTCTGTATTTTTGCAAAATATCGCATGTCATTTAATACACTTTTATTAGTCAAGAATTTCGATTTTAGTTTTTTTCATTTGAAATTTTAAATTCATGTCGTTTTCGCAGTAATTATGAATCATTTACTTTTATTTAAATTGTATATTCATTATTTTCGTTGCAAATTTTCAAAAAGAGGGATACTGTTACCAACCTTTGGTGATAAAAATTAAGTAACTACGTTACCACTTTTTCAAATAAATGTGGAATAAATGAACAAAAAATTGGATGTGCTTTATTACTTTTATAAAATTAATTATGATTGAAAATATATTTTTCTGTTACAATTTTGTGTTGATTTACATAGTTTCATTGTGGTTATTGCACAGAATATTACACAGTAAGGACAGCCTTTGAAAGGCCCATAAGAAATGCACGTAACGGACTAGAACAACAATAATCGACCGTTGGGTAAGGACATGACCTTGAATTTTGGCTTGAAACTGTAGTGGCAAACCTTGTTACTAAATAAAATTTACCACCATGTCAATATTGTGCGTCAAATTTGACATTTTAGATGTTTGGTATTTAATATTGTAACTGTGATTTATTATTTTTACTGAATAGAAAATGCGCGTTCGAACAAATAAATAGAATAAATAATCTTGTGGAAACTGTACACAGGGCACAGGGGTGTGGTATGCTCGTATGGACACAGTTACGAGGGCTGTTTTTATACATCGGCCACATGAAGGTAAAATTGAGTTGGTAGAAAATAGTGAAGCAAATCGTTTTTCTAGGGCTGCAACATAAAAGGTGAATGCTTCATGTAGCATCTTAAGCCCGCCACTCACGTTCCAACGCCGCAGTACAATTGTGTTGGGTACGACGAAATTGAAGTGTTTTTGAACGTCTGTGTATGCGATCAAGCAAATCGGTTGGATGTGGACGGTTGGTGAACAAGTCTGTCTGCAGCAGTACAATCGTGTTGTATTGGATGGACATTTGATCATGTGTGGACATGACTCGACAGTGTATGTTATTTAAACCGTGAGAGCAGCTATAAAAGTACATTTTCGTCATTTCGTCGGACATGTTGTCATCACGATCGCAAGTTTTTAACTGCAAGGTCGTAAAGTGTGTGTACTGCTGCTTTTTAACAGAATTGTACAACAGTTGCATCCAATACAATCGTACTGGGACGTTGGAACGTGAATGGCCAGCTTTAGAATTACCAAAATGGTGGATCATCATCAAAGGCGTTGAAGTGACAGAGAAGTTTATCATATATGATGACATTTCGTTCAACGGCAAAATAACTACATGTTTCACAGGTATATTTCATCAAGCATTTCTTCATTAAGTATCCACAGACATAACTTAAAGAATTTTGTTCCCCCATGTCCAAATGTCTGTAGTCTGTCATATTTACTTCGACAGATTTATGTGCAAAAGTTGTTCAGCTTAAAACTGTATTAATAATTTGACACTGGTTACTTTCTTTAGATTCAATTGCTAGTAAAATAGATCCTAAATCATTACAAATATTGGCATTTTCACTGTGCTGTAAAAATTGCATACCAAATAATTTTTTATTGATTATAGAATAATATACTTCTTTATATTTCTTATCTTACAGATTCCAAGGGAAATTTAAAGAAGCCCCTGAAGCAGGTTTTTTCATTGTGCCTGCAATCACGAGGTGGTCTACCACTGTAGTCCATGTTACTACGAAAAGGTTCCCAGAATCACTTCACTAATTTAACTAACAACAAAAATTCAACCAAAAACATCAAAGTACTTTTCCCAGGGAAGATGAAAACAACAGCGTTCACTTTCTGACTCTTCAAACGATTCACACTTGGCGAAAATTGAAGGCATTGACAAAATAGGTAGTTGATATATTTAGTTGAAATTAACTTGGTAAAGTGATAGACTTTTATTAATGAATAAAATAAATATAAGCATAATTCTTTTTTATTGTTCAAAATGGCATTTTCTTCGTAGTCTTCATACCACACTCCAAAAATTGGTTTCAGTTCCTTTTACATTGTTTTACGGACGAGCTGTATTTGTAATTTAGGCAACCAATAATCCACTTCGTTTCAAAAATCCCGCCTAATAAAAACGGTTGGGTAAGGACACGTTGTTCCAATATTTGACGAGCTGTCTTTACTGTATGATATACTGTGGTTATTGGTTAATACACGTTGCCAACCTTTCGTGAAAAAATGATTCTGTGTTACGAAATTCTTGAACAAAACCAATATTTTTAAAATAACTTGTGATTTTATGTTACTTTCGCAGAATTTATCACGTTTTCTCTGCATTTAAAACCTCATAAAATATGAAAATGCAGGTTTCCCATAATAAAATAACTCCATTCCACACATAATTTTATTCATTATATAACTAACACATTCAACAAATTGTAGCCAACCCCAAGTGATATTATTCACAAATTAGCTTGTCGGTCATCTCGCTGACCTTGAAAAGAAAAAAACGCAAACACTTCTGAGTGCTACACCTCCTGATCTTTTTTCGCCTCTTCGAGAAATACGACATCTCGGAAGCGCTCGTCCAAATTCGAAAATGTTCACCCAGGTATTGCCCCACGTCTCGCATATCCAGGTAGGGGGCATTCCGTTGCCAGGAATAGCAAACTCCAGTTTTCACCAATCTTTTCACTAACTGAATGTCGTGACGGCTTAGAAAATCCAGCAGAGCGTTATCGAAACCAACAAAGTAAAAATTTTCGAGTATAAATGACACATATCCATGTGTTGGTCCTTGGTACGGAGACTTAAAAGAGTCTGCAAAAATTTTGTGAAGAAAATACGCGAAAAAATTTTGGTTTTACCCTCGAGCAGAGCGATGAGAGTCGATATTTGCCTGTCGACGAAGTCTTCAGGTAATTGTCGGTATAAATAATTGTCTGCCATGACGGGGAAATGAGAAAAGATTTCACAGGGTGTGCGGGAAAACTGTTGCTGGTCTGGGGTCATTTCTCGGACTACTATCTTCCAACATCGTCGCCTTAGATAATCGACTTTTGTTGGTTGTGGATAAAAGTGTGTTGGTTGTGCAGCTGGGTCTTCCATGGTGTTGTTCGGGGCGATGTTTGTCTGAACTGATAAGCGAGCAAAAATTGGACGATAAGTTTTTGTGCAATTTTTAGCTGAGGAATATAAAATATTTTAACAGTGTTGCAAAAGACATAATAAGGGTTTTTCGACTCTAGAAGGCAATGACAAAAAAGCGTAGAAATGCTTAGATACAGATTTATTTTTCTCACATAAATAATTACAGTGTCATTACATAATAGTCGGTATAATTACAAATGTTCCCAAAAATACTCAACGCATTTGAATCTTAATAATAGTAACATTATATTATTATAATACAGTACAATGATTAAGTAATGCTTATATCACCCAATTAACAATAAATCCTTAAAATAAATCAGATGTATTTGGATGTTGAGATATTCTAATCTACCTAAAAGGTGGTACAGTCTCACTTCCCAAAATCGCCACTAGCGGAAAAGAAAGTGGTAACATGGAACCCAAATTAGTTACAACCACATTAGAGATATATACAGAATAGAATCTATGAAGAAAACCACACAGTATTTCTAAAGCAATAAATAGATATAGTAGACGCACTCGACTTTGACGGGTGAAGTTACAAACCACCACTCGACACTTCATAACTCCGCCCATCAACCCCACCCAGTCTCCACATTACCACCTCTCGCCCTCTCTCCACCTGCTTACTGAGCGATCTGATCCTGCGACCTCTTGCCCCAAATGCCCTTCAGGTTTGACCAGGCTGGCTCGCGTTTGCCCCAAGAACCTAAAACCAATCCATCATTTGTTTAAGTTAAACGACAAACACCTAAAAGCGCACCTCTGAAGTTGCCCCAATTGCTCCTCTTGCCCCAGCCGCCATGGAACTGCCCCCAGTTCCTCTTGTCGTCGTCGTTAGCTTCCAGATCGTTGTCGTACTCATCATATTGGGGGTCCACGCGGTCGATCATGGCGACGAGTTGCCTGAGGGTGTCTTCGTCTTCGGGGGTGAAACGTTTGCCCCATCCGCTGTGCAGGTTCTGCCAGGCGCGCTTGTCGGCTTGGTCTGCCCATGATGGTACGCTGCGTTTGCGGCCCCACCCATCGTGGAGGTTATTCCAGCCGCGTTTGCCCCAGATGTGCAGGTCTTTGTTCCAGTCTCGCTTCGACATGTCATAGTCCATCTGGAAGCAGACGGGGCTTTACAGTAAAATAAGTTTTTAATTAAATTTGTTTTGGTTGCTTTGCTGCACCACCTCAAAGTTTTATACACGCAAACTCTACAGCGGAATTTCAGTGTTGCTCAATTTAGTTTTAATTGTTTATTTGATTGATGATCATCCAGTTCAAAAATGACGCTTTAGGACCTACTGATTTAAAATTGAAATGTAAACTCATCTGTCAAAAAAATAAAAACCGCGATTATGCAGTGCAATTTCCATTAATTTCCGTCTAATAATAAAAACCCATCACACATAACGACATCCGATTTCCATACTTTGATTGCTCGTCGAAATCATTGTTGCCACATGTCCCAGCGAATTAAAACTTCTCTTATCAAACCGCCCCCGCCGGGACGGCGCACCGCATTTCCCTAAAATCTCTCAATCGTGCCTCGAAGTGCGCGTTCGCCTCGAAAAAGCCCACTTGAATATACATCAGATATGTATGAAGGCGGATTTTTCTGTTTTTATTCTGCCTGTGTCAGCTTTACTTCTTATTATTCCAATATTCCTTTCAATACTCATCGCAAATTTCGTGAAGGACGGGCCGGAATAAAAAAGACGAAATTTAGATAAAAACCTCAACGGAACTATCTCGGTTTATGGCCGAATAAGAACTAGAACAAAAGACAAACTCGGAAAATCCCCCATGTCGCGTTCTTCGTTATTAGAGCTGTCGGCTTTGCCATTTCATATTTCTCTCGTCCCGTAGATTGTAAGAACTTAAGCCGGTCCTCACCTGTGGATTGTCGTTGCTGGATTTCATGGGCGTCTCGTCGGACAGGGCCACGGTAAGGCTGGCCTGCAGACAGCACACGAACAACACGGCCCCCAGAAACCTGGCCGACACCGCCACCGCTGCATCTCGCATTATTGCTGCTGTAAAAAAAAATAAATTCAGGGAAACTGGACATAAATAAACTGATTGCTTGAGGTTTTATCGAACAAGCAACGTTCATCTGGGTAAAAGCCGAGTTTAATAGTATATTGTCTATATAGTATGATTACTATTGGCAAAATACCTCTCCGTCTGTTTTATTAAAACTTTTATAGTGCTACAACAAACGCTGTAATCCCGAAAAACTCATCACACCTCTTAAACCTCGATCCACACCCGCTGCTTCTTCTAATTCCGAATATTATGACAAACCATCCTTTCCTCCTTGATTAACCTAATTCGCGGATTTGCATGTGCGACATCGCAAATTGGATGGTTCTCCGCATCGGGATTGTCCCGTTCGACTGAGCACCATGCAAATGAATGCAGATTAAGGATTTGTACACGTCATACAGAGACTTAATTAGCCCGTTTGCCGAATATTCGCAAAACTGCCGCCATTAAGACTCTAATTAAAACAAGAGAGGCGGCAAACACCCCCACGACGCGAACAAAAACGCATCGGGTGCAGCGGAACGCGCCCCCACTACACTCACATCCGCCTCCCCTCCGGCGCCATTTTTAACGCAAGCCATTAATTCCAAAGTGCAACGGATTCGAGGTGTTCGCTAACCGTCTCATTTCCTACCGGCGCGAATCTAATTTAGGGCGACTTTTATAACTAAGTACATATTTCACTCGGAACGACGCGGATTAGTGCTGATCCGGTTACGGATCCGGTAAAAAATTGGATTCCGGACCAAATTTGAGAGAATTTAAATATTTATTGTTATTATCCGGGGCGGGGGCGGCGGGCGCTGGTTGCGGCCCCGGGCGAGGATTCAACAAGTAAGGATGTTATTTCGAAATGTTTACTGGAGGATTTGTTGCGGATAAATAATCTGCGAAGAGGGGAAAAAGGGTCTGGAGGGGTGGGGAGCCGTAATACGAACTAACATTTATTTTTTATTCATCCCCACCAACAATTTGATGACGTCACCTCAAAGTTTTGTTAATCCTCAAATTAGTTGACTATAGAAATTTATATATATTTAGTAGAATGCGCAATCTCTGAATAAAAATTAATGGAATAAAGTAGTTCTCCATCGCGTCGTCGAATTGTAGTGAATACTTCTGGAGTGCTTTGAAATTTTCTCTTACGTGTCTGATGGAGCATGTTATCTCCATCCATTGGAGTACAACTTGATTGTGCTTTAACTAAAAGAAACTTTCTATTCTAGAGATTTCCCTATTGGCAAGTACAAGTTTTCCATTCACTTCCCCCCCTATTTTCCCAGTTGAAAGAAATTGTCCCTTTGCAAAAACGCACCGAACAAATTTTCAATTAAATTGGCATAAAATGTTAACAACTTTACGACCTCCATAAAAATTAAATTATATACAGCCCGTCCCATAACTCAGCTGTTATCGTCGCAATAATAAAGCACACGCTGATGCGCATCTTCAAACTAAACAAGAATCCCGGCCTTTTTTTAATTACCTCAAACTGACTAATAAAATTTTGATTCGACCCTTATCACTCCACTGCCATCCAGCCGCCTACTAAAAAATGCAACAAATCCCTAGCAAAGTGACAAATTTGCGCCTTGTATACAAGATATTTATCAATTCAAAACATGTAATTAAAGTTTTTAATTAACGTGTCGCCTCGGATAAGGAATGCAAATAGTGTTGGGAAGTTTTGAATCCTATTAACCTGAAAAGTTGTTCAAGTTAATCAATTAACGCAATGGCGGCGCGAGGGAGAGCTGTGACGGACAGCTGTCAGTGACAAGAGGGGGGCGATGATGCGTGAATAATGGCGGCGCGAGGAGAGGCCATCAAACCGTTTTGCGAAAACGTAACAGGTAATTCTCAGCCATCGAAACAAATCTTGTTAATTCCAGCAATTAATTCATCGGGTTAATGAAAACTCGGTTGCTTTCGGCGCGCCAGCGTGGAAACGGGCCGGAGTGGAGCCAGATGTCTACAATTACACAATAAATACCGGCTCAACTCCGTTAATTCCGGCTCGGGATTTACATTCGTATGGGAAGTCGTAATTAAAACGCACCCCGTGGAAAAAAAGGACAAACAAATATGGTTTAGTGGGACGGGGTAGCTAAGTAATTAGGTCTGATTATGGCTGGCGAGCGACTCGAAGTAAACGTGTTTAAGCGCACTTGTTAGAGCATTAAAATGCGCTTAATGGGGTTTAAACTCTAATGATTATGTTTCAAAATATGTAATAATAGTTAGTTTAAAATATTTGGGGAAATTGTACAAATTTCGCCCCCACATGGTGTAAAACAGAATTATGTTAATATTTCTCCAAGGTCAGTCATTAAGTTATCAGATGACTTTTAGTAACAACTTTAACCGGAAGATTTTTTTGGTGATTAAACTTTAGAGAAATTTGACCGATTAGCAACAAATTGCGTGAACGAGAAAGCAACAGTGATTTAATGATGACTTTTATTTTATGGTATAAACAGGACGCACCCAGAACATCAAGGATTAGTTTAGTAAGTCATGACTGAAAAAAATTACAGAAATTAAAAACGTTTCAGAAACCTTGACACTATTTTTTTTTGTTCCAATATCGCGATGAAATATTTCACGTTTATCAGGATGTACAGGATAAAAAAGTAACTCGTGCTTGGATTGCAAAACTTAGAAGTTTCTTGGCATCCTGAGTGAAATTAAAAGATTTCTTTCCATGTGAGAACTTTGAATAGATCCAATCAATACTTCCCAAAGCTCTAAGTTTTGTATCGGTTACAATTTTCGCAAAAATATGGGTTTGAATAGATTCGGATTTGGTGAAAATTCACGTTAGCTTAAATCTCATGCGAAATGCATAATACCTAAGACATGTTTGTGGTTTAAAGTTTCTATTTTGAATCGTACTTGCACTAAAAAGAAATTGAATAGTAATAAATATGTAGATTCAGTTCAGTTTAGTATAAGACATACAAATTTGCTCGAGACGAAATTATAGTGAGCTAATAAGCCGCACAATATGACTTAGACTGAAAATAGTATGAGAAGAACATGTTTAATCAACACAATCTGCCAATTTTACATTTTTTGAGTTTGATGCAGTTCTTATATTTTGAGAAAGAACTGATTTTAATAATGGACTAAAACAATCATAAATCAGAAAAAAGACTAAACGAATTACAGTCAGATTCATCACGTTAACTTGTGAAGTGGATCCGTTCTGACTGTTTTACGTCCACTGAGCCGTTTTAGTGGTGTGTTCTTCTCAAAGTATTTACACTCTAACAAACAACTGAATGTCTATATTTGTAGCTATAGCTGATAATGCCATAAGAATTTGCGTTTTATTCTGAGAATATTTGACCTTATCCCAAGAATTTCCGAGTTGTGGTTTTATTGAGGACAAAACCAATTTTTTTTTTAATCAAGTTACGTCTAATTCGAGAAAAACAACTGAAATCTTAACATAAAATGTTAATGTCAAGATAAAATTAATGCCAATTAAAAAAAGTCGACTCTTGATAGAAAAAAATTCAATTTTTACTTCTCTTGGATACCCGTGGTGTATTATTTGGGAGCCCAGGCAGATTTTTTTGTAAATTATTTAAAACAATTTTGGGGAACTTTGGTGTTCTATTTTTGGAAAATTTTGATCTGATCTGTCTTTGAGTTAATTTTGGGAAACCGTTTTTTTTTTGAAAAATTTAAAAGAATCTTGAAGTTCTAGGTATTCCTGTTTGGAACGAATTTGAAAGTGCTTTGTAGCCTGTAGTGTCTTTTTTTATAATAATTTAATTGAATTTGATAGAGGATACGTCATTTGCTAAAATCAGTCTTACCTGAGCAGGTACTAGCCCCGCCCACCCACCCTCTCTTTTCTTGGAAGGTATGTAATTTGCCAAAATCGGTCTTAGTTTAGCAGCTACTAGCCCCGCCCACCCGCCCCCTGTTTTCTTAGAGAATATGCCATTTGCAAAAATCAGTTTTATCTTAGCAGGTACTAACCCCGCCCACCCGCCTTCTCTTTTCTTAGAGGGTATCTCATTAGCCAAAATCAGTCTTATCTTAGCCTGTACTAGCCCCGCCCACCCACCCTCTCTTTTCTTAGAGGGTATGCCATTGCCAAAATCAGTTTTATCTTACCAAGTACTGATTACGCATTAGATGCGTGCAGTGTTGCCAGTTTTACTTTTATAAAATTGCATTTTTTGCGTAATTTACATCATTTAATAGATTTTTGGGACTTCCGAAACCCCCGAACATACGTACTGAAGACACCCCATTTTCCAGACACCCCGTATATGTTTAGATATTTTGATTAAACTGATTTGCAGCCACGATTAATATTTGAAATTACGATGCGACGTTGCCAGTTTTCTTGAAATTTTTTAGCAATGGAAGGGTTCACAAAAAAAATCACAGTAGGGTTATTTTTAAAGTCTATCCTACAATATTTTGTGGAGATATAAAAAAAGATAAGCGCTTTGTTGCGATTAAATGAGATTAATTTTTCGTATGCAGAGTGTTTGTAAAAAATGTTTTAATTATTCCAAGTTTCAAATTTCGATATTTCAGTTTTTTCATGGAGAATATTTTATTAGTGCATCTTGTTCTATTTTTGTTCCCTCTTTTTTGCTGAGTATTTTCTATACTTATTTAAAGTTGATAGTTACTGTGATTTTTTACTTTTTTGTGATACAGTAATAAAATACAGGATGTTCCATTTAAAAAACTGAAAAATCGATATTTGAAAATTCTGAAGTTTTAGCATTTTCTTAAATAGACTTTGTAAAAGACAGACTTTAAAAATAACCTTACTGTGATTTTTTTTATATTTTGGCTTTTTGTCTTAATATACATAATACTCTTTGAACAAGACGATAGTTAAAAACATGTTTTCAATTTCTTGTAAACAAATAAGTATTTTGCAGTTAAGCTCCGCCCCCTTGATTCACGGCGAATAAAAAAAAATCATCACAATTGAGATAGGGCGGGTGGG